TGCAGTAATCATACTCCAGTGAGCAACTACTATTATGATATAAGCCACAATTATCCAGTTGCATTTTGTTATCTGAAGCATGATTCCAGTGTCTCCTTGTCAGGTTTTTCCATATCTTTTCAATTCTTCCTGTTCACAGTCCTTCTAATACATCTTCAGTACTAAGAGACATGCTTCTTACTTTCAGATGGGACCATAATAGCTTCTTAAGGCACTGGATTTAATTTGTTTTCAGTGTCTCTAATAGTATGCATATTGCTGTTGGTATTTTATTTATGGAGATTCACTGTTATAAAACTGTTTGCAACACAGGTATCTTCTTTAAAGAGACACAATAAAAATATTGTCATTAAGGTGACGTTCAGTTTTAGGAATGGCTGTTAAATATTGCAGAATTGAGTGATGCCATTCATCTGTCAAGTCAAAAAAGTACAATACATTTAAAAAAAATTTAATTGGGGTAAAATTAATTGCAGTCCTATTATTAGAACTTCACAGATGTTTGAAGAGTAGGTTTTGGGTTTTTGTCCTTAGGGCTTCCACTATGCTTCCGTGTAATAGGCACAAATTTGGTATTTCTTTCTGATATCCTTCTATTACTTCTGTGTTTGTGCTGTTCAATGTATCACTGAATCCTTTTGAGTGAAAAATAAAAAGGTTTAATAATATGAAGGTTTGTGATCATATTTCAGATGGCCATTCATGCTTTGATAGTGCCATTACATGTCCTAAATTACTAATAAATCTCAATATACAAATATTTTCTTTCAAAAGCTCAACATCTCTCTTAAGAATGATGTGTATTCACCTGCTTCTGTTTTTGGAGGTGCACTCCTGACTTTTACTAGCTATATTTTGTTGTTGCCAAAAGTATTTATCAAATGCCTGCGCTCTAAAGCATGGAAGCTCTCTGCTTCTTTTGTACAGCTGGCTAATAAAGACAGTCAGTAGGATTTAAAAGGAAGATTATAGAGTTCTGCTTTCCAGATGTGACCTCAAGATTATTTCAGGACCCTCTTCCTCTACTCCTATGTAGGATTAAAATGAAACATTTTAGTTTCCATATGGATTAAGATGATTCATGAGAACTGTCAAACTGTACCAGAATAAAGATCCATCTAGTCTTGTGTCTGGTGATAACAAAAGTGTAGTTATATTTCCTTCTGTCTTTCCAGCCATCTGCTACTTTAGGACTTCTTCAGACAACTGATTAGGGACTTCCTGAATAATGTCTACTGTGTCCTCATTGTCTGTGAAGTTTATATATATTTGATCTCTTTTAGTAATTTTTTTACTCCCAAGAGAGATTTTATAACATTGATTATATAACTGAAACATATCATCTTGGTTCTCACTTTTGTTCTCATCTAGGAACCATAGTGAGGATGACTCAGCCTGCAGGTATCTATAGGAACAGACTCGAAAGAAGAGGTCATGCTTGTGCTTATGCATTATTCAGTGTTGGATCAAGCCTCTCTTCTATGCAACTGTTCATATATTCTGGAGTTTTTCCCTTTCTTCCTTCAAGGAAGTTGATGCTGAGCTCCTTCAGGCTGAGTGTGTTTGCAATCCAGTGCATCTAGTCTTGAGAAAAATCCAACTAGGACAGGAAAATGCCAGGAATGATGGAAGTAATCCCAACCTTTTATCCTTTGAACCATTCAGCTGGTAAAATGTGATCAACACACGACAGAGAATGGTGCCATCACTGGTAGGTCAAGAAGCAGATGTGAATTAAGTACTTTCTATGCTCCCATATTTTCCAGAACATATTGACTGATCATTTTGCATAACTTAGCTTATACAGATTTTTAATGTGAACTCTAAAATCTACTGCAGCTTATAAAACCAGCACCAAGAATTTCTGTATTTGTTCTATAGGCAATTATACATATATTTGAATGCATTCACCACTATGTGATGTACTTTATGGGGGCTGTTGTGTGCTTCTGTCGAATCTTCTCTGGTTCTTTCAATGCACATAATCCCTTGGACAACAAAATTTCACAATCTTACAACTTACTTATCCCACCGAGTAAACAAAAACCTAGCAAGGACAGGAAGTAAGACTATCCAACTAGTAATTTGAAGTGTTAGGTACTCTTTCTTATTCATTAACATAGGATTGTCACAGCATGGACTCATGTTTTCTGTCAAATTTTAATGATCTGGCTTCCTCTTTGGAACCACTTAACATCCCAATGGCACAAATTATATTGCTGCTTGTCTTCGTCTCTATGCATGAGATGAACTATGCAATGAATTTACATTCTTCTCAAGCTATTTTATTTTAATTACCTGTTAATGAATGTGAGTCAGCAGTTGTGTAATGCAAACAATTGATAGAGAAGGTTTACAGAGTCTAAATTGTTTGGGGAAATCCATATAAATGGCTAGTATAAATTAAATAATAAAACGTTATTTTTAAAATGGAAAATTATTGTGACCTACAAAGTTATATGATATCTCCAGACTGAAAAAAAAAAAAAAAAATAGAGATCAAATTCTATGTGAAAGTGTGGGAGTATCTTATTTGCTGCCTAAGTCAGCAAAAGGCTGAGCAGGCACTGGTGCCCACTTGTTTTGTATGATGCCCTTCAGTCTTGACTGTTCCCCTAGGTACTCCAAGGGAATGGTCTCTGTCAGGATCTCTGTCCTAACAACTAACACCTACTCTGGTATTCTTTCTTATAGAGGACCAGATGTAGTACCTGAGTCTTATTTGTCTATTAGTCATCTTTCCCATTATCCTTTTAGAACTTTGAGTCTAATTTACTGTATAGTTTATCATGAAATAGGATCAAACCAAGTGTGGTACACATAGATTTTTCAAACATCTGATTGCTTCTATTTAAATTTTTAAGGACTGGAGAAACCTGGAATCTCTTGGTCTTACTACTCTTAAGAGTGTTAATTGAACACTCAATTGGTTCTTATTGAAAGATACATTTCCTCATCATCTCATGGGGATCCTGTGATTAAATTGGAATAGCAAATTTCATTAATATAAATAGGTAAAAAAGGGGATTTACTACTATTTATTAACTCTAATAAATAGTAGTTTTCAAATTACACTTTAAAATCCTCATATAGAAACTGAAAATTCTTATTGCTGTGCTATTTGCCCCAAGAAGGTCTGAAACAGTATCTCTCAGAGGAATGAACAATTCAGTTCAGCTTTAACTGAATGTGAAAATTTAAACCCCAGCTTTTATGAGCTTAATCAGCTGCATTTCAGCAGAGGACAACAATAATAGGCTACAATTAATGCAAAAAGATAATAGTATGGAACAGTATTCTTCTGCATTACTGCTTCTCTGTCACGGATACTTTTAAATAATAAAATCCAAAAAGCCCCAAATATTTGCAATCATCATGCGCACCTGAAGGCAAGGCCTGCTCGTTTGGTTAGAAAAGCAAAATTTATTTTTCTTACATTGTTCTTTCAGAACTTTATATTTTCAGGCTATTATCTGTAGTTTTTGCTTAGATTAAAATACATGCTTTTGACAAGGCTTTAATAGTTTCCAGTAACACAAACAGGGATTTATCATGCTGGAGTAATTAATGCTTGATTTAGAAATAAATCCCAGAAGTCTTCAAGAATTTTTTAGGTCAAAAATTTGGGGGTTTTTCTGCTTTTTATTAAAAAAAATTACATTAGATAGTTGATATCTTGTATGGATTAATTTTATACTACTTCTTTGTCCCTTTAATGTCGTTGTTTCTCTAATGCTTCTCCTTAACTAACATTGAAGAAAGAAGGAAGGGTAGAAATGTTCTTCTGACACTTTTGATGCAGGATACATTTGAAAACCAACTAAAATTCCTTGCCAGCATGTCCTTGACAGTGGGAATTATCCTTTGGTAACGAAATTGTGGGATGTCAGTGACACTTGCTCAGTGTTTGCACGAGGAATTCAAAGAGCTTGTGAGTGCAGCCTGGTTCTGAAGTCTGCAAAACACACTGCCACTCACATCTCTGCATGTATATGTTTAGGGACAATATTGTAAACAGTGAAGGAAATTCAGTGGTGAGTCTTCTTTTCTTCTAAAAAGATGTTGCAAGTTGGTTAAAGCAGTTTAATGTTATACTGTGTTTTTTGAAGATCATTCAGTTACATTCTATACAGAGACCTAGTTGACAATGTCTTTAATTTAAATATGTTTTTATTCTGGGTATTAGGTATCTGTCATGAATGCACATTTTAGATTTACTAGGTTGTCAAAATCTTTCAGAGCTTATGCTTAAAAATGACATTTTTCTTCTAGTAATGGTAGAAACAGGTATGTTCTATACATAATTCTCTTTGTATTGGACACTTCTGTGTTAGAAAGCTGGAAATGCTTGTTCAGATGGAGTCCATGAACTTCAGGTCTAAACAGAAGCTTGTAGTGAATTAGATGTCTCATCCTGGTTTTCTCTTTATTTTTTACCTAGGGATATTTTTGAATGTTTTAAAAAAAAAATTACTTGAACAATTATCAGAACTGGTTTTGCATACTTGATTTTGCACCTAGGATAAAATGGTAGAGTAAGTGATGTTTCCAAAGCTGTTCCAACCCAAATCTTCATCATTCATTAAGGAAAAGAACTTGCTGAGAGTTTGATGACTTTGCTGATTGGCAGCAAATTGCTGTGAAATAATTTTATTTAGAGTTAAATATTCTAGCTTCTTTTATGTCTTCTAATAAGAAAAAAAAAAAAGAAAATTACATAGTGTTTCGGAATTTAGAAATAATTTTGTGTGTCTGCACATCTCCTGGATTCTAAACAGCAGAATGAACCACAGTGATCACAGAAATATCCCATTGTTCAAATGAGCTTGCCAAAGGTTTCAGTTCCTTTAATGCAGGAGATTTTATTTTCTGTTTTGCAAGCATAATTTGGAGAGTCTAATATATGTGTCTAAAATCCAGGGGTTTTTTTTGTTGTTGTTCTGTTTTGTTTCTCATTCTAGTGGCTGAGTATTAACCTATTTCTTTATTCATTTTTATAGATTAAAAAAATCAACAGGAACTTTCCCGTAAACCAGCAGGTAAGAAAAAGAAAATTTGGGTTTTTAAAATTTATAATTCTAATTCTCACTTGAACTATCTTTAATTGTGCAATATCTGTTCATTATTCTACCTGAAGAATTCTCAGTAGATTTTCTTTAGAGATTTCCTCGGTGTTTTTACTTTCTCAAAGGGAATCTGAGTGTTTCATCAAAGTAGGAACATTCCTAATCTTTTCAAATTAACTTGATGCAGGTATATATACTTTTCTTCAGATTTTGTCTTACTAATTTTACTATAAAAGGGGAATGTTATCATTATCCTTTAGAGAATTAATGAGTATAAATCCATGTTCCAAAATTCTGAAAATGTATGGTCTTTTTTTTTCTTTTCTTTTTTTTTACCAGTTGACAAATATAGGCAAAAAAATTAATATCTGCACAACCATTTAAGCAAAATATGAATAAAAATACCAAGGTAAAACTCAGTACACTGTGCAGTTAATTAAGTATGTATATGTTTTGTATGATAACTATTAATTATATAATGATAATTTCCATTCAAATAAACTTGTTTAAGGGAAATAAAGCAATATGATTCATAAGAAGAAAATTGATTCCTCATAAAAGGAGAGAAATATATATAGGACTGAGCTGTAAATTCACCTTCAAGAGAACAGGTTTGACGAAGAAAAGTGTTTTCACCTCCCTTACTCCAAATCTGCAGTTAGCCAATATATTTCTCAGTTCCCTTTCTCTGATCCACCTTTATTTATATGGACTTGCACTGAGTGTAACTCACAAAGGAGGTAGATAATTCTATTTTGTTTTCTGTTTTCTTCATGAGAAGATGCACAAATGCAAAAAATTAATGAAAATTATATAATACTACTAATATTAATAATAACTATATAAGGATAAGTATAAATGTTACAATAGATGAAGTTACAATAGGTGAAGTTAGTATTTGCATTTGGGAATTTTCATAACAATTTGCATAATATCAGATGCACTATATGCATATAAGATATTCTCCTGTCTCAAAAGAAGGAAGAAGATACTGACTTAATGAACAAAAAGCAGTTAATTGGCTCCATTTTCAATGTTATGATTTACCCTGAACTTATGTCTTTGCTTTTATTACTGTAAAAAATGAGTACAAAAAAAATATAAATGACAGTTAAAATGTGCCACCACTCTAACATATAATTTAGGGATCTCTGCTGCTTTGGAACCCTTGGCACATGGAGTCAGCAAGGCATTTTGGCCATGCTATCTGTCAGGACAGCCTGTAATTATAGTGCATTAATCTCTCAACAGCACCAATCATTATACTCCAAAAGAAATACTATGGAGCACTCCAAGAAACTCAGTCAAAAGGTCAAATGGGAAAGAGGCTGGTTTGATGGGCAACGAGACTGGTAAGGTCTTGTTGCCTGTCAAATATTGGAGAAGAAAAAGGTTTACTTATCTGTGGATGTCAGAGATTTTAGGGAACATTGAATTCAAAACCAGATTTCCTTTTTTGTCTTACCTTATGTAGAGAGGGTTGTTGTTTTTTATCATAAAAGAAGTTAGGAAAAATCACCTAATTTAATTGAAATAGTTAAATAATATTTTTTAGTAGAATCAGAAAAGGCTACAGATGTAAGATTAATTTCTGTCTTCATGTGCAACAGGTATCAACATGGTATACAGAGAAGAAACAGAACTCTTTACTTGTTATATAAACACATCATTTATCTAAAACTTTATCTAAAATCTCAAATAGCCTTGTCATCTTGACTTTTTTAAAATAAAATTATTTTTTGTCTAAGAGGTTGAACAGCTAGTTTTAACTTCTTTCTGCAAATACATCACGAACTTGAAGCTGTCTTCATCCTATTATACTTTTAAAAAAACCCCAAAAAAATATTTAATTTCACTTAACAAATACCCACAGGTGTTTTTAATGAGCACTAGCAGGGTAATTGAAGGTTATTTTCACTTAGAATTTTTTATACATATATATGTGGATTTTAATTAGTGAAATAAAAAGGGAAGGCAGTTTTCAAACTAGGCAAGGAACCAACCCATAGGATACCTTCAGGAAAATATTCTTGATATGGAGAAGACAATAGGAGCACAGACAGATCTCTTAGCATTACAATGCGAAAACAAATGTACCTGCAAAGGTGTGTAAGATGCTGTAACTCCAACAGTGTTATCCAGACATCTCAATATTGAAGCAAGTTAAACAGATAAAAGAAAAAGTAAATAGAAAAGTCTTGTTGACTGTACATAATGTGGCAGTTTCGTTTAATACAGTAATTGTCAAGGTAGGTTGTCTGGAAAATCATTAGAAAGATAACATATAGTAATTAAAATTTAAAATTTAAAGGTGATGGGTATTGATAAGAAGGTGGTAATTATTTTGACAGCATGAAGCAATAAGAAGTTCTCAGAATGGTGGTAGTACATTTAATAGTGGTGGAAATATGATGCAAAAAATGCTGGAAGAGGACTCCACAGACAAAAATAAATGTTTGAAAAAGATTGTGGGACTAGAGGGAAATAAAGCTCCCCCTCTCTGAGTTGACAGTGATTAAAAGAACACTTGAAATGGTAAAAAATAGAAAATTAATTGTGTTTTCTATATTGGAACTGTATGCATTGGATATAAAAAGCAACATTTAAGAGTATAATAGCAAGTGGTTAAGAAAAATAAATATTTTTGGACTCAAAATGTACTGAATATTTCAAATAAGCACTAAGAAGTATGATGTTGTAGACAAAATTTCCATTAATTCAGAGAAAAAATTATATAGACCTCGTAGCAGAGAGGCACAAAGAATGGAATATTTCAAGGCTTCAGCCAGAGGCTTCTCTAGTTGATCAGCCAAGATGGGAGTGGAAACATGGTCATGTTTCCTTTTCTTGGAACTCCTGACCTCTGATGAGCTGTTACACTGATTGCAGCAAATGTCAGCTCCTGTGAGAGCCATCACTAGGAAGGTGAGTTTTGAAAGGAAGCATTGACTCCCTGCTGGCTCTTTCCAAATGACAGGTGTGGTATAATAAGGACAAACACTGCCCATTCCTTTTCAATTCTCAATCTTTTCATTATCCACCATGAATTTGCAAATATGCTGATCTCGGCTGAAAATCGACTTGATGGCATCTAGAGAAATGAGCATTGGGCAGTCCTTATAAAGCCTTCTGATCATTTTCAGGGTGAGAAACCAAATGTAGCCTCCAGCTTCTAGAAATTTTACTTCACATTATAACTCTCATTTGCTGTTTGGGATTCATTGGGATTTGGCTTTTACTGGTTGCCATGCCAGGAGGATGACTTTGCAACATCTGGCTTAGGTACACAGTGGAATAAATTCAAGGTTTAGATCTAAATCTTAGTCTGGCCTGCAGTTCACCTCTTCCTGTCCCTACATGAACAAGTAAGTAAAATGTTCAAAAATTGCAGCTGGGAAAGTCATAACTTTCTGTCTCCCATTTCACTCAACAAGGTAGTGGTACAAACCAGATATGGCACGTGGCAAATTCAAGTTGTGGATTTTTCATTTCATTGATTATTGCTATGTTCACATACATGTTCACAAATGTAATAAATAGACACTTTCTTCTCTACCACATGGGAAACAGTCAAATCAAATGGTTTCACATGAAGCAGATAAAAATATCATGGAAGAGGAGTGTAGTTAAAAATTTCTTTTCCTATGTTGTGTGTCTCATGTCCACTAGGATGAACACAAAGGGCATGACCCTTCACCTTTCATATGCTGAATTCACAAAAAAAAAAAAAATGGGGAAGAATGCTGTAATCCTTTTTTTTGAACATTATTTCTCTTCTTTCCACAAGGACTCTGAGGCTTTTTGAAATATTTGTATCTACAGAAGATAGGAAATTTTTATTAAATAATTTTAGCTTTTAAGGATAATGTGTCCCTCTAGAATTTTCCTGCTTCATGGGAAAAGAATTGGTAGCTGGTCTATTCAAAGCTGACAGTTAATAATGAGAATCATGTGAGAATGAGAAAGAGTGTTTAATTGTGTTTAACTCAGTTTTACAGCAGGATTATGGCATAATGAACTGATGCCACACTAGGGCCAGAAACTGGGGTACCATTGTGAGTGTCAGATTCCACAGTCAAGAACCCTGTTTTGCAGACATTTTACATCTTGATGGCCAAGAATGGGGCGATGGTATATACCTGATGGCATTCAAAAATATACATGGTTATGTCTATTTCCTTTTAATTCTTCTATAATGTAATAAAAACAACTATACACATCTATGTACATAGATAGTTCTACACATCTATCGATCAGCTATGTTGTATCATCTCATATTCCCCTTTAATGGGGTGTTGTCCAGTTTTATTAAAGTTCTACAGTTAGAATAATCTCATTTAAAATCAATTCCAAAAGCTTGACACAGTGAGTTCATTTAGTAAAACCTGACTTACATGTACTGCATAGAGGTGATTACACACAAATGTCATGGTGACTGTCTTTTCTGCCAATCAAGCCAGTGTTCTTTGCTTAGAGACGCAACACACAGAGATGTGTTGCATCTCTATTGCATCTGAAAAGGTGAATTCCATTGCTCAGGTGAATTGATAAGACTGATAGGACAACATCTGACTGATAAACACCTGTATAAAATACAACACATACCTTTCTTTTTTTTTTTTTTATTACTAATTGCAGAATAATAGGCTCCGTTGCTGTTGTATTGGTATTTTGGAAATGCAGTGATTAAAGAGAGGGTTCTGAAATATAACATGTCCCCAAAAGAAAACAAGTCTGTTCTAGAAGTACATTAAGAGGAGTGGGTTTTTTCCCCTCTCCTTAATGTATTATTTTTTTGTGGGTTTTTTCCTTCCTAATTTTGCTTGTCTGTTGAGCTAATTAATTCTTTTCCAATATTCTGTTCTGTGGTACCTCATAGTAGCCATCCTGCAGCTCTTGACTGACAGTCACTGAACTTTCAGATGCAATGGTACATCTGCTCTATCACCATCTGTTGTCACAGTCAGGACTTG